TTAGAGTTCCCTTCAGTTTTATCTGAAAACTTCTCATATTGAAAATTCATGTTTGAAGAAATGAGAAATTCAAAAATGATAAATTTCTAATACTGTTTAGTACNTTCATGTTTGAAGAAATGAGAAATTCAAAAATGATAAATTTCTAATACTGTTTAGTACCATATGAAATCACATTACCTGTAAACTTTATGGAATATTCAGAAGATTCTCCAACATGAACACTCAAAAAGTGTTCTCTTGATACTCCTGGAATATTTATTGTTACTTAAAACTACAGCTAAGTCCATACTTTTCATCATTTCATTGTCGCCTTCTAAAACTACAGCTATCTTTCTGTAAAACTCATACCATACATCGAATCGATCTGATGTAATGAAATGATGTTTTATCATTTTGTCTGTGAAATCCATAGCAGTCTTGCATAGACAAATACGAGGAACAGTCGCCCTCTATACAGAACGCACCAGTTACAGGGTCCTTGAAGTTTTTCGAATGGTTCACAGTTAAATGTTTGAAATCCTTTCCCATCTCTTCAATTCGTCTATAACTGGCCCAACAGTCAGACCCAATGGTGGAGCCGGGCTTGATGGAAGCCTTTATACAGGATTCGAGCATTTCCTCAGTACGGTTGGGAACGACGTATAGGAAACACCGCTTGTCCTCCACGCAGATTCCTCCAAACACCCAAGTTTGCCTTTTGAGACGGCCGACATTGTACTTTCTTCGGGATATAAGAGTCTCATCTATTTCAACAGTTGTTCCGGGATCTCCAATAACATTTGGTTCTTCCAGTAGTCTACATGCACATACTTCGTGTGCTCGACTGTTATCTTCAGGTTACCCTTACAAAACTTATGAGTAGTGAGCTCATGACTCCACCAGAAAGTAAACAAAATTATTTGGTAGAAAGAGAGATGGCAACCTTTAACATCTTATCATACTTAACTATCTCTCAACAACTCATACCTTCAAACCACGTATTCTTCTTCAAGCTAACTTCTCTCGCACACTTCTTGTCGATGCAGCGGAATCTATCTTTTTTGGAAGATAGCAGAAGTTTCATTTCTTTGCCACAGAAGCATGTTTTCTTCGTTGGAAGAAGCTCTTTTTCTTGAAGAAACTTTATGGCGGTTTTTTTTATCATGAACGATAGCTGATAAATCGAGATAGCTTGTCATGTTTGTTGAAAGAGTAAAACTGTTTTATAATTGTTACACTTTGTTATTTTTAATCTAATTAGCATACCACGTACTCTACACGTCTAATTAGCATACGAAATCGAGTATATTGCCTTATCGATAATGGAATACGGAGAATCCCCGCACGCGCCATTATATTGATTGCCAACGCATACCGCGCAGCTAGTACTCATAGCGCTTTGATTCGGTCTCCTCTCACTCTCAGGAAATATTCACAGGGAAACATGTGAATTGAACCCAGGACTTCAAAATTTCAGGAAAAACAAACATAAATGTGTAATATATATTATGACTAA